TCCTAACGCCAGCCCTAATCACGGCCCTCTCCTGCTCCAAAACCTTACATGACTCCCCAGTGTCCACAGGCAGAGCAGGGCAGCTCCCCAGCCACCAGCGCCCAGCCACCTGACTCCTCTACCCTCCTGGTTCCCAGTCACCTCTTAACTCTTTCTCATCCTTATCAGATGTCTTCTGTCTCATCCAGAAGATAATCTTTTCTATGATTGTGGCCTCTCTGTGTGGTTCAAATAGCTAACACCCTCCACTGCCGGCCAAAAGCTTAGAGGTTCCAGTCCTCCCAGAGGCCCTCGGCAGAAAGACCTGGTGCTCTCCATCCCAAAATCAGCCACTGGAAATCCTCTTGGAACACAGTTCTTCCTGACATACACGGGGTTGCTACGGGTCCACCTGAAGTCAAGAAGCAACGGGATATTGATCGTCTGTGAAAGTGCTAACATTTTAAGTAGACCAGGTTCAATAAAATAGAGTCTTGAAATTAATGCCTCTATTTCCTTTGACACCTAGAAACATTTTAAATCTCAGATGCCACTCTGGCTGTAGTTCTAGTGGACAGCGCTACTGTGGACATTTGATAGGAAGTGACAACTGCTCTCCGCTGCCCTCAGCTGCCCCAGCCTGCCCGCCCACCCCTCCCAGCCTCCCGATGTTGTTTTTCTTCCTAATACTTATCACTCAATGTATTATTCATGTTTATTCTTGGTGTCCCTGTGTGTGTGTGTGTGTCTGAAATTTCTGTGGCTTGTGTCCCCCCGCCCCCTGTCCTATCCTGTGTCGTTCTCATCATCTCTGACACACGTCAGCCCATTGCAGCAGTCACTGTGTCAATCCATCTGGTAGAAGGTCTTCCTCTCTTTCGCTGACCCTCCACCTTTCCAAGCATGATGTCCCTTCCCAAAAAAGAGCCTCTCCTAGCAGCAGGCCCACAGTCTGAAAGACAAACCTTCTTCATCTTTGCCTCTCAGGAGCACTCTGGCTGCACTTTTTTCCAGGATAGATTTGGCACGTGATCGGGCTCCGTGAAGGTGGATGAATGTATGCAGACTCGGCAGACATCTGTATACAGCAGTTCACTGACTCTCTAACCAGCATTGTTCACCACAGCCAGGAGGCAAAGGTGTAAGGTGCACAGTCCAAGGGTCTCTAAGACACAGTTTGAGGAGCCCATATTAAAATTAGAATGTTGGTGGAGAAAAGAGAACTGAGTAAGTTGACTGATCAAGTGAATGGAAGTTCTCTGGGACCTAGAGCCCCCGCCCACGCACAGTCTGCTTTGTGCCACACCATTCATTCCTCCCCAAACCCAAAGTCATTGCTCTCTAATCAGTTCCAACACGTAGTGAGTCTACAGGACAGAGCAGCACTGCCCCACAGAGTTTCCCAGGCTGTGTTCCTTACGGAAGCAGCCCGCCACGTCTTTCTCCTGTAGAGCAGCTGTTGGGTGTAAACTGCTAACCTTTGGGTGAACAGCCGAGCACTGAACCCCCCCCCATCAATAGCACTGGCTCCTTTTCCTTCTCTACCAGCACCCCCAAATCCAAGCTGTACTCCCAGCTCGTTCCTTACATTTGCCAAGCTCCTTCCCACTCACAACTCTCTCTCTCTTCTCTCTCTCCTGACCATTCTCTCATCCTGAAAAGGTTTTCCCCCCAAACCCAATTCTCCGTCATTATCTATGAGACCTCAACTTCAGGGGCCTCTCCAGAGCCCCAGACTAGTCAGCACAGCTGCTGTCTGCCTTCAATGCTGCAGTCTTCCTGGCTTCTCCGAGAACACATCAACTCTGATGCATTCATTCATTGTGTCCATTTCTTCATTAAATATCTCGTCCCTGTCAGCTCCAAAGGACAGGTTGTTGTTGTTGTTATGTGTCGTCGAGTCGTTTGCGACTCATAGTGATCCTATCTATGTACAACAGCCCTAAACCCTGCTCTATCCTGTACCAACCGCACCGCCTCTGACACACCCATCCCGATTACCCCAGTCACCGAATCAATCCATTTCATAGAGGGTCTTCCCCTCCTGCACTGTCCCTCCACCCTCCCAAGCATGATGTCCCTCTCCAAGGACCCGTCCCTCCTGACAACATGTCCAAAGTATGTCACACGAAGCCCCAGAATCCTTGCCTCCAAGGAGTTGCTTGGTTTAATCCTCTCTAGGATGAATCTGTTTGTTTTCTTGGCAGTCCATGGTACATTCAATACTCTTCTCCAGCACCACAGCTCAAAGGCATCAATTCTCCTTCTATCCTTCCTAGTCATTGTCCAACTCTCTGATGCATAACAAGTGATTGCAAAGACCATGGCCTGTATCAGGCACACCTTAGTCTCCAGAGAGACACCGTTGCTCTTGAGTACTTTAGAGAGGTCCCTAACAACAGACTTTCCCATCGCAATACGCTTTTTGATTTCCTGACTGCTGGTGCCAAGAGTGTTGACTGTGGAGCTGAGCAAACTGAAGCTGTGAACAATCTCAATCTCTTCGCCATCCATCCTGATGCTACCAATTGGTCCAGTGGTGAGAATCTTTGTCTTCTTGACATTGAGCCTCAGTCCATACTGAAGGCTGCAGTCCTTGACCCTCTGCAGCAAGTGCATGAGGGACAGGAGGGTCTCATATTTGCTCTGCTTGCCTCAGATGCACAGCTTGTGACGTGGGTAAAGGAGTTCAGTCTGACCCAGCAGGCCCATCACTTCTCTGGAAGCAGTCTGTAGGAAGTTTTGGGGAACTCTTTGTTTTAGTCTAAGGTAACCCAGAATCCGACCCTGAACACAGATGCAGGTGCACGTGGTCTAGCTGAGAGGTGAATCCAGCAGAAGGTCACTTGGAACAGAAGGGATCCTGGGCTGGGTAGGGTGAATCATTGAGCACATGTCCCCGTGGGCAGCAAAGGACCCCTGCAGAGGCCTCACTTCAGAGAGATCTATGATGAAGAGCCAGGAAGCTGGGTTACTGAGCCCCAAATCTCACCTGGCTTTTAACCTCCCGCTGTCCATTCAATTCCAGATCCTGACCCTCCATACAGGATTTCTCCACTTTGCAGGAGGAGACTTTCCAGTATTCTCCCAAGGAGCAATTGGTACATCTGAACCATCAACTTTTTTGGGTTAGGAACACAACACATTGTACACTATGCCATCAGGGGTGTTTACCTGGCTTTAGAAGGGTGTTAATTTCCAGGTGCGTCTGATACAGGCCATGGTCTTCGCAATCACTTGTTATGCATCAGAGAGTTAGACAATGACCAAGGAGAATTGATGCCTTTGAGCTGTGGTGCTGGAGAAGAGTATCGAGGGTACCATGGACTGCTAGGAAAACAAACAGGTTCATCCTGGAAAGGGTCAAACTGAACTGCTCCTTGGAGGCAAGGATTTTGGGGCTTTGTCTGACATACTTTGGACCTGTTGTAAGGAGGGACAGGTCCTTGGAGAGGGACATCATGCTTGGGAGGGTGGAGGGTAGGCATAGGAGGGGAAGGCCCTCTATGAGATGGATTGATTCAGTGACTGCGGTAATCAGGATGGGTGTGTCAGAGGCAGTGCGATTGGCACAGGATAGAGCAGGGTTTAGGGCTACTGTACATAGGGTCGCTATGAGTCGCAAGCGACTCAACGGCACATAACAACAACAACATCAAAGCTTTGGAGAAAGCCTTCAGGCACAGAGATACAGATTTCCTGTTGGCACCGCTGAAGTGGTCAGACCCAAGGCTCCTGGCAAGAGCACACAAATTATTTGCCGGGGATACTCTATTTAGAGGCCTCTCCAGTTTTCAGGGGTTTTCACCCCTTATCTAGAGCACCAATGAAGCCTGCCCTCTGTTGCTTAGCTCTGAAACAAACATATCTGGACATTTCCCTGGGCTGCCTGACCCCTTATGGCCTCAGCATCACAATGACAGATGAGCCTCTAGGAGTAGGGCCTCTGCCAAGCACTCTCCCTGCAAAGAATCCCCGGAGTCTTCCCTTCTTGTACATACAAGGAGTGGTTTTCTTCCACCCGAGGCCTGAGGTCAGTGGCCCATCTCAGACTTAAGGCTTTTCCTTTGCTTCTCAGTAGCTTATGTACTTCCTGGGTGTACTTCACACGTGCTGTTGTGCTATGTTGGTAACCATCAGCTCTGACTGGTGGTGACCCTGTGGACAACAGAACCAAACGTTCCCCGGGCCTGTAGCACCGTCACACCAATGCTCGAATCTGCCATGGGAGCCACCGTGGTTCTACAAACATTTTCTCTGCTAGGGGATTCATCTTCCAGCTCTCTATAAACATATTCTTTTATGCTTCAAAAAGTTTTCATTGGCTAATTTTTGGAAGTTAGTCACCAAGCTTTTCTTCTTAGTCTATCTGGAAACACCACTGAAACGTGTCTACCTACTGGTGTTTGAAATACTAGTGATATTGCATCTAATGTCACTGCAGTGTGCAAGCTACCACAGTATGACAGACTGACCCAAGTGTCCCCTTATTTGGTCCTCACAGACCTTTGCTTGGCAGAGTCAGTACTATTATTGTAACAGTATTATTATTCTGGTAGACAAAAGGGGAAGAGAAGCCTAGTGACTTTTCCAGTTTCCCCCAGCTGGGAAGTGGCAGAGCAGGGATTTGAACCTAGGCAGACTGGGCTTTTGATACTCTTCCTAGCTCTTAAAGACCTGCTGCCCACGAGTGCCACCTCCAGGGTCCTAGGCCCTCCGTAACCTGTTTTGATTGGTCAGGGCCCGTGAAATAAGCTGACTGTTGGCCCTGCCCCGTGCCCTTGGGGAAGCTTTTCCTCTGAGTATCAGCTGCACATCTGTTCTCTGTCAATTCTCTTTTATCCCATGAGGCAGGTGCTACTCACACCATTTTACAGAGACTGAGGCCCAGAGACATTAAATCGCTTGCCTGTGATCACCCAGACAATGGATGCCATCAACCCCCAAGTGCCCCGCTCCCCCAACACCCACCTCTGATATGAAACCCACCCTTTGTTTTCTCTTTGCTTTGTTTCTTCCAGCATCTTGGCTACAGTTGGGACAGAGTTTGACTTAAGGACGCTGAGAGCAGTTCGAGTGCTGCGGCCACTCAAACTGGTGTCTGGAATCCCAAGTGCGTGAGTTTCCGGCCCCGCATGGGGTTTCTGGGGGATGGGGGGGTCCCTCGATTTCCCCTCGTCTGGAGCATCTCTAGAGGAAACCCTGGCCCCTCCAGCCTTGATCAGGGCAGCATCCTCTTTGCAGAGCTCTCAGTGCAGTCCGGGGCAGGGATGGGGTCCGGGTGGGGGGGTCCTGGCTGCATATCTGCAGGAGCTCTCAGAAGCCACCCGGGTGCCTGACCAGGGCCGGGCCACAGCCTCTGAATGGGGCGCCTGCTGTGTTACAGGAGCCGCACTCAGCATCACCCGTTCTCTGGTTTGGTTCTCACAACCCTGTGAAGTTGATAGCACTAAAATCTCTGTTCTTCAGAAAGGAAAACTGAAGCTCTGAGTAGCTGAGATGTGGCAGAGCTGGGAATGAACTCAGGTGTGACTCCACTCCTGGGCAGAGACGGTGGCATCAACGGCCACTGTCAGGGGATGCCTGTCGTCCACCTAGCCGGCTACTATACATTCTTAATTTTCACCTCATAAGCACCCAGTGGACCCATTTTACAGATGAGACGGCTGAGGCTCTGGCAGGTTAAATTAGTCATCTCCGGAATCTGTCCTCAATCCCTGCAACTTCCCTTTTCTCTAAATATGCTAAGATGCCAGTCTAGACACACCCCCACCCCCCCGCACACAGCTTTAACCCCGCTGTAGCCTGCCTCCCTTAGCAACGCCCTGACACTTCCTGCTCCCTAGAGTTGCACCATTGTGTGGACCACCCCAGTGGCCTCTCTCGGTGACTGTGACCTCCATCCACAATGAGGGCCCACAGAAATTCTTTTAATCAGGAAGTGAGATCCAAGACTTTATGCTTGATTCTAAATATTAACCTTTTCAGAAGAAAAGCTGCCATCAAGGAGATTCTGGTGCACGGCCACCCCAAGTGTGTGTTCCAAAGGGCTTTCCATGGCTGGTCTTTTTAGAAGTAGACAGACAGCCAGGCCTTTCTTCCAAAGTACCTCAGTGGTACTTCGAGCCATACATGACTTGAACTGACAAGGAGGAGGGTAGAACTGGGGAGGAGGGTAGAGAAAACTCTGAAAGTACCACTTCAAAGACAGACTTTCAGTTAGCAGCCAAGACATTAACTGTCTACAACACCGAAGGTCTCCACATAGTGACCACAGTTAGTATATTCAGTAGCCTAACGCAGGAGTGGCCGTTGTTGTTAGTTGTCACTGAGCCAATTCCAGTTCACAGTGACCCCTGTGTGCAGAGAACTGATCCGTAGAAATTTTCAAAAGCTGTGACCTTGCAGACCTGGATACAGAGGCAGCTTTTGTGATTATGAGCGTTCTTTGCATCTTAGAACCATGAGACTTGCAGTTAGCATGCAATTCTAAATATCATCAGCTCTATCCCTTCCTGTCCCAAAGGAAATTCCGGCCCAGAGTCACTTGATCATCAACCACAACTGTATTTATTATTATTATTATTATTATTATTATTATTATTATTTATTATTATTATTATTATTATTCCTCGTTATTGGGGGTCAGTGTGTACCCCCGCTCCAGGTCCTCTGATGGCCATTGGGGGCTTCTTTCCTCCCATCCTCACCGCTCTTGGAGCCAGTGCCCTCTCTTTCTGAGTTGGGTCGTCCATAACAGAACACATAGGGTGGGCGTGTAATCTTGAGTCATAGGGACCTAGGTTCGAGTCCTGCCTTTGCCATTTTTAGCGTCTGTGGATGAATCACTACACCTCCCAGAGCTTTTGCTTCCCACCAACTGTAAAATGGGGGTGATGCTGTGGGTGCCCCTGCTTCGTGAGGTGGTTTCCAGAAGCCAGGGAGATGATCACATGGAGTCTGGAACTGGGACACTGCCTGCTCTCCTGGGCAGAGCTGCACTTTCAGCCTCTACATGATTTGGGGAAAGGCGCCCCCTGTTTGTGAGAACAATTAGGAGCTGGCTTCCCCTTCTGCATGGAAGCCGCCCAACACCCAGGAACTTGACTTAGAAAGCAATGGATTTCTGCTTTTTTTTTTCCCCTCACCCAAAAGGTCATGAAATGGAACAGCAAATGGAGCACAAAGTACTTTTTAAAATAAAAAGTGCTTTAAAAGAGAGGAAGGCTTGACCTTATTATCGTAACACCCGGCCCGCCCCTGTGTGCTCTGCGGCCCCGCAGGGGAGTCTCCCTGCCACGTGGTGGGTGTTTGCTCACAAGCAGGGGGGGCCTCTCTCCTCTCTCTCTGTCTCCCCAGGTTTACAAGTCGTCCTGAAGTCGATCATGAAGGCGATGATCCCCCTGCTGCAGATCGGCCTCCTCCTATTTTTTGCAATCCTTATTTTTGCAATCATAGGGTTAGAATTTTATATGGGAAAATTTCATACCACCTGCTTTGAAGAAGGGACAGGTAGGTGTAAACAGCCAGACATGCTTTTCCAATCATCCTCGCAGTCCCCTCCTCTGGGGACCAAGCTTCCAGCAGGGGTCCCCGGGGCTTGTGTCTGCCAGGGAGAACCTCTTTCAGCCAAGCGCTGCGGGAGGGCTCTGGGTGGACTAGCCCTGATCACAGGTGATGCTGTGGATCCCAGAAGTAAACTCCTAGACGGTGGGATGTTGGAGAATTGACCCCAGGACACACGAGTATGAGAATGCGGGGTAAAACCAGGAGGGAGAGGCCGTAGTGAGAACGCCATGTTGTTAAGAATTGAGTTGTGCCTCCCCAAAAGATGAATGGAAGTCCCAAACTCTGTGATCTTGTTCGGTGAAATCCCTTTATCAGTTAGGTAGGCGTGGTCAAAATCCGAAACCCTTCTGGTGACCCAGTGGGCAGAGTTACATCTCTGGATGGGAAATGACGATACTGTTAATATTTCTAGCCTTAAGCTTAAAATATTATAATGTTCAAAATTATTTTTTATACATTTGTTTAACTCCTTCCCTCTTTTAACAACTGGGATCTAGAGGGAAGAGAAAAGACCAGAGAATGGCCAAAATTATTGGGGCAGCTATTGCTGCCAGTTTAGGGCCTGTGTCAGGAAAAGGAAGTCTTACTCATATACAGTGCCACCCAAAGGTAATAAAGGAGGTCAGAATTGCTTCCACTGTGGAAAGCTGGGCCACTTCAGTAGACAGTGTCACAGACAAGAGCCACAGATAGGCAAGGGAGTAGAGAGGAAGCTCCCACTCACTTGCTTTAAGTGTGGCTCTGAAGGACACTTGGCAAAGGTGGCTCGCATCAGGTCCTCGTGGCAGACAGGACTGACAGGCTCCAGCTCCCAGCTGGAAACAAAGGAGGACGCTTCAACGATTTAGATCCTCCCAGAAGAGCCCTGGATGAGCATTAACCCAGAGTTTCAAGGTTCAAATCTCCAGTCTCCTCCACAGGAGAAGAGTAGGCAGTGTCCTGCTGTGCATTTGTTGTTCTTGTTAGGTGCCGTCAAGTCATGTATGGCTCAGAGCAACTGGGTGAACCTCAGAGCTGAACTCTTCCCTGGTCTGTGCCGTTGCCACCATCTCTGCCACCCCAGAGCCCGCTGCTGCTGTCTCTGCATCAATCCATATTATCGAGGACCTTCCCTCCCCTCCTTTGCTGACCCTCCACTTTTCTAAGTGAGATGTCTTTCTCCAAGGACTGGTCCCAACATGCCCAAAGTATATGACATGAAATTTCACCATCCTTCCCTCCAAGAATACTTCCCTCTAAGGAGCATCCCAGCTGACCTCTCTCCAAGACATAGGTGTTCGCTCTCTGGGCAGTTTGTGGGATATTCAGTGCCCTTCTCCAACACCACAACTTTCTTTCTGCGTGCTTTATAGCCTCTGAAAATCCCATGGAGAATTAGCTACAGGTTGTTTCTGACTTGACAGCAATATGTTTTAGGTATTTTCCTGAGTGATGTCTTAGAAGACAGCAAAAAAAAAATAAAAAAAAAACAAAAAAAAAAAAAGAAGACAGCAAAAACAGGCAAACTCAGAAATAGGGGGAAGTGCTAGTGAATGGCCATCTACAAGGCCATGAACCCACCCATGTTGCCCAGAGTTTTCAGAATTTATAAGACAAGAAGCCCTTATTCTCAAGCCCGCCAAGAATATAACCTTACCAACCTTACCCTAGGTTCAGTCTTTCAACCCCCAGAATTGTAAGACAATATATTTCTGTTCTTTAAAGCTCTCCCTTTGAGGTATTTTGTTACAACAGCCCTAGGAGACTGAGATACTTCTAAAGTCATTTGCCACCATGGACAGCTGCAGCTCAGGCCCATTGGGGACCTTTAGGAAGCAGAGCACATAACTCAGAGTCACCCCACATGAAGGGCGAGGAAGCTGGGGTCTCGGTCCTCAGACTTCTGACCAGCATCTGCATGTGACTATAACAAGCTTCATGGCATTTTCACGCTAGGATGTGGACAGGGAGCTAATCGTTACCTTCCGGCTCCCTGAGACCAGGCTGAGTGAAAGCAGGGAAGAAGAGATAATGGGTGGGGCCTGTCTGCTCTGAGATGGTCCCCCCCTTTTTTTTTTCAGTTACCCTACCCTCACTTGCAGTCCTGTTTTAGGAATATAGCATTACCAGAAATTACACATAGAGAAGGTTTAAGACTGGCACCTCCTAGCCCTTCCCCAGGATGTGACCCAACCCTGGCACCACCCAGGGAGAACCTGGCACTGAGCAGGGTGCACGAGGCCCCCTAGTGGCAGGATTGAGAGCAGGTTCGAGGGAAGGAGGGACCAGCAGCCTTGGCTCGAATCCCACTTTTACTTCAGTCACTGGCTCCACTTCCACTTCGACCCCTTGCTCTCCGTTTAGTGGTTTTCCGAGGGCTTTTGGAACACACATAGTAGCATAAAACAATGCAGATTATTGACTTAAAATTCTAAAGGCTAGAAGTTTGACATCAAGGGGGCTGCAAGGCTGTGCTCCCTCCAAAGGCTCGAGAGAGAGAAACTTCCTTGCCTCTTCCAGCAACCCCAGGGTTGCTTGGTGTGTGACAGGACCTTCCCCTGGACCTCTGTGTCTTAAGCCCCGTTTCCTTTTTCTTTCAAAGATGTAGGACCCATCACAAATTCAGAGTGGCCTCATCGCCAGATCCCTAGCTCATCCCATGTGCAAATGCTCCATTTCCAAACGTGGTCACTCACATGTACAGGTTCCAGGGATCAGGATGCGGACATATTTTGGAGGGAGGAAGGGCAAGAGGAAGACACTTTCAAACCACAGCAGTCTCCAAATTCAAGTCAATTGCTGTCTGAGACCCATGAACCTAACAGAGTCAGGTAATGAGGAATGTTTGTATTCCAATATTGCTCATGGCGTTAGCCGGGGACATGACAGCCTGACCCTTTGGGCCAGAGGAGTCGTTATCTGAGGGGACAGAGCCTGAACGGTGAGACAGACCCACTGGCAGGCAAAGGGGAAGGAGAAGAGGCTTGTCTGATTGGGCAAAGGTGGCCATGGACTCTCCTGACACCCCCAAGGGGAGGCAGCACCCAGAGGGGCAGAGGTATTTGAAACACCTTTTCCTCTGGCTCCTCCCTTCTCCTCGTCTCCTGGGTTTGTGAAATGTGCTCAAAATGGAATGTCCTAATTATTTCTTTCCCCGATGAAGAAGGTGTTAATTGAGGCAGAGCTATTTCTGCGCCAGGCCCATCACCCAGGCGGAAACACAGAGGGAGGCAGGGAAGCAGGGCAGGGCCCCTCGGAAAACCAGCCACATGCACAGAAAGCAGGACTCTGGGGCCTGACAGGCTTCTAGTTTCTGGTTTGGTTTTGGGGTTTTAGTTTGGTTTGGGGTTTGTTTTTGTTTTTGTTTCTGCCCTGAGCTATACCTCCTGACTTAGGCCTGAGAGGGGACAGGCGTGGGTGGGGCAACCAAAGGGGAGGAAGCCTCATTTAGGAGTATGACTGAAAAGCTGGGGATTAAAAATATAAAGCGTGTGAGTAAGAGACAGATATATACAGACACGCCGGCAGCAGGTTAATTTTAAAATATATTTATAACCAAATTCCACAGGCTTTCTGGACCGTCGCTTTGCTAGAAGCAGCCCTCGGAGCCTGGAGGAGGCGGGGGTGGGGGGCTTTGCAATCAAGGCACCCAGGCCGAGCTGCTAAAGATAGCTGGGTTCTCAGCACCCCAAGATCGGGAGCCAGTTCCGCACAGGGGAAGGCGGAAATCGAGCCTTCCTGCTTTCCAAGAGCTTCCGGAACAGTCTGAAGAGACAAGACCCTCCTCGTTTAGAATCACTTCATAATAATGCAGGTTAATGGATGATTTTTAACCCTCCAGATATGAAGAGAGAGGCCCATGCTAACTGGGTTAACACAAGGGGACTCTGTGGGGTTGGGACAGAAGCCAGACTGGACACTTGGAAGATGGACAAGGTTCTGGAAAGAGCCAGAAACTCCCAGGCAGACAGAGATGAGCCTGGAGTGAATAATTTTGATATTGGTAATAGATAGATGGGCATCTATTATACAAGCCTCTTTATCTTTGTATATAGGCAGATCTAGGAGGTAGTGAGGGTTGAATTCTAGCTAGATCACCACAATAAACTGCATAAGGCAATGAAGCAACATGACAAAGTGAGTGAGTTAGACAAATGTTTTTGTTTCCCAGAATGAAATTAGGAAAATTAGATTTGCACTGTACCGTAGCCTTTGTTAAAGGCGCTCTGGTGGCAGAGTGTTATTCGACTTACTGAAAAGTCAGCAGTTCAAATCCACTAGGCACTCCTCAGGAGACAGATAGACAATCTCCTTCCTTAAAAATGTACAGCCACAGAAACCCAGTTGAGTCAGAAGCAGCTCAATAGCAATGGGAGGGTTTGGGGTTTTTTTTGTAGTATCTTAAGGGGACAGTTGTTGAATGCTGTGGAGTCTGAAATGACCCATGGCTGACCCTCTGGTGGGTTTTCAGAGGCAGTTAATTGCATGAGAGGAGATTGCCTGTCCTTCTCCCACGGAGCAGTTGGTGGATTCAAACTGTGTGCCTTTGGGATTGCAGCGCAGTAAGGAATATATTTGAAAGACTGAGAATTTCCAAAATGTGACACAGAGCGACACAAAGTGATAACATGCCGAATGTACATGCTGTTGAGAAAATGACACCAGTAGACTCGCTCAACACAAGCTTGCCATAGACTTTCAACTGCTGAAAAACACAGTATCCGTGAAACACAAGGAAATTACAGTACCCTGTATGTCTGTAAAGTGTTACTAAAGACATACTTTTTTTATTGATAAATTTTTACTTTTTAAATTATGTCATTCAGTCACTCATGTACATTTTGTTTTATAACATTTAATTACAATTGTACAATACTACTAAAACACCTATTTCTTGATTATCCATGGGTCAAAGAAGAATTAAAAGACCACGGATTCTTTTTCTTGCTGCCCTGGGGCACATGTTGGAAAGACTTTTACCCTTCCATCTATATTTATTGCATAACTTAAAATACAGAATGTTTTTCATTATTATAAATAAGCCCATCCTGTGTGAATGAAGAAGATGTCTTCTGAAATTTGAACTCGGGGGTGATGTGGTCATGTCTTCTTGTGTCAATTGAGTGTTGGGTCTCAGGGCAGTGGGTGTCACTTTGCATAGAAATGGAAGCCAGACTTAAAGTTCCTTCGAAATTGTCACTTGAAAGGTCAACAAGATCCGTTCATCGCCATGGACCGTTCTGAGTTAAGAATGGGAATTGATCCTGAGAAACCTGTAGCATATAGCTTGAGATCTGTTTTTTAGAGGATGTTTAGTTTATATGCTTGGCTGTTTGTTTTCTTGCCTGACTATATCTCTCGCTGAAAACCTTCAAAAGAATTGGTCACTCGCAGAACAGTCCTTTCCTACCCACTGCTCTAGCCAAAGGTGATACTCTGGAGATGTCCCTGGAGGACCTCATCAGCACTCTTCCTCCTTCACCAGCGAGATTCTGACCTGACCTCTAGCACTGAGTCCAACAGCTGCCTCCCCGGGAAGCTTTATGGTTCTGCAAGAAGGGTGCCACTGGCACGCTTCTCTCCCCTGGTGGCATTTCCACAATCTGCCTCAGTCGTTTGGGGAGAAAGCTTAGCGCCTGTGCTGAAGGGTAGAAACTGTGTGTACTGGTCTCTCTCGCCCCCAGAACAGCTCCCTCAGCCCAGTACATCTCAAGAAAAGGAAGGAAATCAGTGAGGATCGAAGAATAACACAATATGATTGACAAGCTGCTTCCAATGGACATCTAGAAAAGTCTGCACCCAGTGCCCACACAGTAAACCGTGAACACTTGAAAACTGAGGAGAGGGTAGGCCAGAAAGTAAATCTCAACAGATGTCAAAAGATTAGAATAACACCAGAACTATTCTCTGACCACAATGCAGTTAAGCAGGAAATTGGTAACAAAAAAAACTAACTTTGAAAATGTCTAGAAATTAAGAAGGCATGCTTTCTCAATTATGGATAAAGTAATACCAAGTTTAAAATGCTTAAAAGTTTTCTAGTGGCAGAGCAAAGCAAGGGAGAAAGGGATGCAGATAACACAAGATTGGTCCAGATGAGTTACAGTTGAAATTGGTAGTAAGTCATGTGAAAAGTCATCATACTATTCTGTTTGAGGGGCTATGTCCGGGGGGGAAAAAAAAACCAAACTACTTTTTGACACACAACTCAGAGAAAAAACAGTAATGAAAATTGGAAAATATTATCTTGTTGAACAATAATGATAATAGAGTGTGTGTGTGTGTGTGTGTGTGTGTGTGTGTGTGTATAAATTATGAGATGCAGCCAAAGCTGCATTTTAAAGGGATTTGTAGCCTTGAAGTTATTCCAACTCCAAAGCTTAAGGAAAAGAACAAAACCCAGAAAACAGGAAAAGGAAAGCAATAAACACTAGAGAAGAAATTAATAAACAGTAGAGGAACAAAACCAAAGTTGGTTTCTTTAAAAGGTGACCAAGTTCAAGCATTTTTCTAGCAGTGTTGAATACACACTGGCCACTGCTCCTCAGAGCTGGTTTCTCCTACCCATTCCCTGACTTTTGTCCCTTTCCTTTTGATAGATGACATTCAGGGTGAGTCTCCAGCTCCATGTGGGACAGAAGAACCCGCCCGCACCTGCCCCAATGGGACCAAATGTCAGCCCTACTGGGAAGGGCCCAACAATGGGATCACTCAGTTCGACAACATCCTGTTTGCAGTGCTGACCGTCTTCCAGTGCATCACCATGGAGGGGTGGACTGATCTCCTGTACAATGTAAGTGTGTTGAGGTAATCCTCAAGACCAGGGACAGTCTCAGTGCAACCTCAGGAAAGCCTACAGGCCTTTAAAGACACCAGGCATTCATCAGCAGAGGCCAAACCAAGGAAGGCCCTGGAGCAAGGCTGAAGTGTTTCGGGTTGTGCTGAGTTTTTTTAAAAAAATTTGTTGTGGTTCTGGCTAAAGTTTGTACAGCAGTTTTAGGTTCTCATTCAACAATATCCAAGTTACTTAATTGATGTCAGTTACATTCTTCATAATGCATGAACACACTCATTATTTCCCTTCTAGTGGGCCCGTTTCTGTTAATTTAGTTTCCCTGCCTCTCCAACATTCTTGAATTTGGAAGTAGTTGTTGACTGTTTAGCCTCACATAGATGATTTTTCTAAAGGAGCATAGTAAATTATAATTTGTTGTGTTTTTTTGTGTGGGGTTTTTTTGTGAGCTGAGCTCTGGTAAGTAGTCTATTGTGAGGTGTGCTGCTATCCCAAAAGCTGCTCATCTCGTGATTCAGTCCACCCTCGGCTTCCTGGGAGAAAGATGGGCAGTCTCCTCCTGTTACAGCTGGAAACTTGATGGAGGGTCACAGTGAGTCTGAACCTACTTGATGGCAGTGCGTTTAAATCTGTTCTTTAGCTGCAAGGTGACTTTGAATTTGTTTCAGTTCAAAGTTAGAAGAGTATCTCAGGACAGTAGTCCCAGGGGTCCCTCAGTCTCCACCAGTACAACAAATCTCATTGGCTGGTTTTTAAGAATTTGAAGTTCTGTCCCACATTTTTCTCCTCTCTTCTCAGAATACGTGTACTGTAGCCTTGATAGGAACTGTCAATTGTGATAGCCGGGCACCATCTACTTCTTCTGGTCTCGGTAAATGAAGCCATGGTCTGGGTAGGCAGTTCATCCTGAAAGCTAACTTCCACTTTGAATCTTTTGTTTCTCTTTCACACTCTTTCTCTTTCACGTCAAAAAAAGTAGAGATCAATAATACTTGTAACTTAGATGGCCACACAAAAGTTTTTAATACACAAGCACTACTCATCAAACTCAGATGTTTAACATAACCTTATAACTTCTACTTTGTCAGTTGATAAAGATGAGCCATGAAACCATGATCCTACTCCTTCAAACTTCAAAAAAATAATCCCATAAATTGTTTGGTTATGTAATTATGTATTGTTGTTGTTTGTTGTTATGTGCCGTCGAGTCGTTTGCGACTCATAGCGACCCTATGTACAACAGCCCTAAACCGTGCTCTATCCTGTCACACTGCCCCGACACACCCATCCCGATTACCCCAGTCACGAATCAGTCCATCTCATAGAGGGTCTTCCCTTCCTGTGCTGTCCCTCCGCCCTCCCAAGCATGATGTCCCTCTCCGAGGACCCGTCCCTCCTGGCAACATGTCCAAAGTAATTATGTATATTTTATAAAAACTGTGCTGCAATCCTGAAGGCATGAGGTTCAAGGCCACCAGCTGCCCCATGAGAGAAAGGCAGTCTCCTCTTGTGCGATTTACTGGCTCTGAAAACCCTCTGGAGGGTCAGCTGTGGGTCGATTCCAGCTCTGTGGCGTATAACAACGAAGGTGAAAGATAGAGGTCTTCCCACATTTGCACGTTGAGGAGTCCTTGTTCTTTGGCCCGGCTGTTCTGAGTTCCACTGCATGGCTGCTCTTCTTTATCTCGCTAGTCCCTTGGAGAGGGCTTCTCGGTGACTTCCACGCTTTGACTCTGACCCCTACGCTGCCATGAGCAAGGGGGTGGTATAACTGGGCAAATATAGCAGGGTGCTGGGGTCCGTTTTAAAGCTCTCCGCTTCTCCCCTCTCACCTGTGCAAATGAGAGGCACAGCGGGTGATGGTTAGTGGAAGAGTCAGGATCTAACACAAAGATGCCACGTATCCAGGAACATCCCGGGCTGCTCCACATCCATCTAGGGGAGTCTCCACTCGCCTAGCCATAAGGGCTGGAACTGCCAGCACGGGCCAGCGCTCAGCCCGCTGGAGAATAATATCATCTTCCTGTGTGTGCACAAAGGAACCCAGCGCTTCTCCTGGGGATGCTGTGTTGTCCTTAAGCAGTACGTTATCCCTCCTTGAGAGTGGAGGGAGGTTTACAAGAAGCCATCCTTTTGATCAGTGACAGTTTCTAAGTCAAGTTAAGAAGGCATCTTGGGAATAGGAGCAAATAAGAGTGCACAGCTGTGCAAGTCAGGCAATGCCTAAGTCATTGTGTCCCAGGAATGCTGTTCATGTTGTAGACAGCATAGGTGTCCACCATCCTGGTGGTCATCCACTGACAAAACTAAAAGACAGGGCAGGGGAGGAGATACCGTGTTTTCATTTGCATGACCGCCTTGTCTGAGCATAGCAGCCCTGCATGCAGATGGCAAGCTGAGCCCTGTCTGGGCTCTCTTCGTGGTCTCACCTGCAAGCAGCTTGAACAAAAGACTACACCCAAGTGGTAAAGTCTGCTGAGGGCTTCGTGAGCGCTGGATTTTTGCTCTGCAGGGTTGGTGTGAGAGGAGGCTTCAGGGGAGGTTCTCTCCTTCTGGGAGAGAAACAGCTGAGAGACAAGGAAGATGGGGGAACTCGGGCAGAAAATGGGAGTGAGGTGCAGGTGCTGAGAGCATAATAAATACTGAAAGAGACTGCATCACTGAGTTGGGCACTTAGGGAAAAGGTCGAGAGACACAGGAGTACATCACTGAGGGTGTACTCACTTGTGGAAGAGGACATGCAGACAGAACTGGAAAGTTCCGAGAGTTTCTAGAGAGTTCTATGCTATCCACGCTTTGGTCCCAGATCATGTTTTTTCCGGGAAGCATCTGAGCTGAGATTGGAGGAAGCTTAAATGTGAGTAGCATAGACTGGTCTCCAGCTTGCTTGGATTCCAATCCAAGCCCCGCCACACCCTTGCTCTCCTACCTTGGCCAGATAAGCTTGGCCTTTCTGAGCCTCCATTCCTACATCTGCCAAGCACAGTCTTGCCAATGGGGCAGAAGGACTGGGTGAGTGGACACATGAGAAGTGTTGAAAACAGCACCCTCGTGCTGCCTGAGCTCTGTAAGCCAAGCTCCCCAGCCAACCAGGGCTCCTTTTTAGAATCCTGCATGAATTTTTCATTGTAAAACCTGCAGCACCCGGGGAAGTGGGATTTCCCCCTGAGCTCGCCCCCACAGATAACTAACTGCTACTACTCAGGAGTAACCTTCCAGCATTTTCTGTGCAGTTGCATTCCACCCTCGTCGTCCAGGGAGGAGCCCGAGCAGCGATTTGGGCGTGTCGTGAGCCTAGAACAGGTGCCCCAGGACCAGGATTCTGCCTGCAGGGTGTCCTGGGCAGTGATGGAGGTGCTGGTGGTGTCTCAGCTGGTGTGGGCGGTGCTGCTGGCATCAGGTGGGTGGAGCCCAGAGATGTTGCTGATTGACCTGCAGGGTATAGGACCAGAGGCCAAAGCACCTGCATGATGGGGCTAATCATTCCAGATGGGATGAAGCCCACCAGGGTGTGACCAGGACAAGCAAACCCACGGCCATCAAGCTGATTCTTACTCATAGTGACCTGACAGTACAGAGGAGATTTGCCCCGGAATTGTGGGGTTGGTGAAGAGCATCAGATAACCCAGGGGCTTCAGAAAGAACAAACAAATCTGTCTTGGAAGAAGTGTGGCCAGGGTGGTTTTTTTGGAGAAAGGATGGTGAGATTTCATTTCATATACTTTGTTGTCAGGAGAGGCCAGTCCTTGGGAAAGGACATCATGCTGGGAAAAGTGGTGGGTCGGTGGAGAAGAGGAAGGCCGTCTACGAGATGGACTGACCACAGCAGTGGGCTTGAGCCCAGTGACGATTTGGAGGATGGGCAGGAGAGTGTAAGGTTTTGATCTGTTATTCAGAGAGCCACAAAAAGTCCACTTGATGGCACCGAACAACAGTCTTTATAGAAACGGACTGTTGCATCTTTCTCCCATAGAACGGTTGGTATTGAGAGCTGGTGGCCTAGTGGTAAGAAGCGTCACTGCAATCCCAAAGGCATGCGGTTCAAATCCACCAGCTGCTGTGAGGGAGAAAAATGGGCAGTTTCCTCCTATCTGACTTACTGCCTCTGAAAAACCTGTAGGAGACGGAAAAACCATCGGACTCGATGGCAAAAAATAAAAACAACCGTCTTAACAGAAGCAGACTACCACATCTTTCACCCGCAGAACAGCGAGTGTGTTTGAATCAATGACCTTTCTGTTGGCATGCGAGCACTTAACTACTCTTCCACCAGGGCTGCCTGCAAGGTGTGACCAGGACCCCTGAATCCTGGGCAGAACACACGCTGTATCAGCTGAGGTGGACACCATCCGTGTCCCATCCACATGCCTTTACCCTTGGGTCCTGGAGGCCTGGAGGCCTGCAGGCTTCCCATTGCAGCCCTCGCTCCTCTCTGCCCAAGGAATTTGGGATGGTCAGGGCATCTGGGCTGCATGTGAACACCACCACCCCCAGCTGCTGCAGTCTCCCCCAGAAGTCGATGAGAGTAGGAGCCACCAGCACCCCAGCTCTCTCCCTCTCGGGGGTGATGATCTGTGAAATGTGCTACAATGCTGTCTCCCCAGGATCCCGGCCCTGGTGCCCACAGGGTGGCATGCTCATAGCTGCAGCCCTTGCCAGCTGCCTCTCTTCTGATGCCTCCAGAGAGTGCCTCTCAAATGAAAAGCTTGCACCTGAGCCCAGGTCTGGGGACGTCAAGGACCAGCTGGGTCCCATGCTCAAAAGTGGGGGTTACAATGTGGGCGTTTGAGTTTCTGCTGGCAAGAGCACCACTGTTGCTCTTCTAGGTCAGGTGGGCTCTGCCCACCTGCCTGGCCACCAGCCAGCCCAGCCAGCTCCCAAAATGCCCCTCGGCCAGGTGAAATGTCTGAAGTCTGGCTTTGTCCTTTGTGACTCTGGGACCTTGCCAGCCAGCATTGTTCCTGCTTCTGAGCCAGCCAGTGGGGCAATGATTTTGAGGC